GCCGAGACCGGTTTGGCTCAGTGGATAGAGCGTCGGCCTGCGGACTGAGGGGTCCCGGGTTCGATTCCGGTCAAGGGCATGTACCTGGGTTGCAGGCACATCCCCGGTGGGGGATGTGCAAGAGGCAGCTGATCGATGTTTCTCTCTCATCGATGTTTCTAACTCTCTCTACCTCTCTCTCTTCCTCTCTGTGAAAAATCAATAAAATACATTTTTTAAAAAAATAAATGTTTGTACCTATAAATCAAAGATCATGAAAATTAAAATTGAGTAGTTGAATTCTAACATAGGAATTATTTTTTATTTTATTTATTTATTTTTTAATCCTCAACCGAGGACATGTCCATTGATTTGAGAGAGAGACAGAGACAGAGAGAGACAGAGACAGAGACAGAGAAACATCAGGTGAGAGAGAAACATCTTTCAGTTGCACTGGGGATCGGACCTGTAACCTAGGCACGTGCCCTGACTAGGAATCGAACCCAAGACCTTTTGGTACACGGGGTGACACTCTAATCAACTGAGCCACACCAGCCGGGGCTCTAACATAGGGTTTAAAGTCATTTATTCTGTGGTAAGCTTGCATTTATCTCTGCAGAATTTGTTCTTTTCCACCTCAAGAAATGTAGCAAAGTGCTGGAGGCATGCTGCTGGAACAGAGGGGATTGGTGGGATGCCTAATCTTCTTAAAGTTGTATTTAGCGGTATAGACTTGGGGATGATGTGTGCTATTTTATATCTGTTCCTTAGTAAACCTTTCAATGTGATTTAAATAAGTATTGCTATCCTATATAATAAAAGGCTAATATGCAAATTGACCAAATGGCGGAACAACGGGTTGCTATGACATGCACTGATGCTCAATGCAGGAACTGCCCCCTGGTGGTCAGTGCGCTACCACAGGGGGAGCACCACTTAGCCAGAAGCCGGGCTCATGGCTGGCAAGTGCAGCGGTGGTGGTGGTGGAACCCCCCCACCCCCAGTGCACAAATTTCGTGGACCTGGCCTCTAGTTGAAAAATAATTATCTCTCTCACCCCTGTCCCTGGCCACCATGTTCTTGTCTGTAGAGGCAGACACCTATGTCAGCTTCTTATATACCCTTCCAGAAGAATTCCTTAATAAAAAGGCAATATATAGTAACATGGATTCAAAGAAACATGCACCCTTAAAAGAAATGGATGGGGCAGCTACATGTAAGCTCCATTCAGGCAAGGACCATATCTGTTTTTTGCTCATCCCTGTGTTCCTAATGTCTGAAATGCTGCTTGGCACATAGTAGGTGTCCAATAAATGTTGAATGAATGACTTCATAACTGTTGGTGGTTCTCTTTGCAGTATGGGGTTCTTCTGCAGACTTCAGATTCATTTTTGAGATTTCCTTCCCCCCTTACGTCATCTCTGTGCACTGATAATAACCCTGCAGGTAAGAGCGTTTTCTTTGTCCTTAAAACAAACTTAGCTTCTTTTAAATTTATAGTAATCATAATTAAACAGGCTTCATGACTAGAAGCAGAGTCTTAGAGTTGAAAGAAGCCTCAAAGATTATGTTGTTTGGTGCCAGAATCTTTCCTGCCACATGCATTCACTGCTTGAATACTTGTAGGATGGGGATTCCCAACTGAACCAGCCCACTGAGTTGTTTAACACCTCCATCTGTGGGAAAGTTCTCTCTTCACCAGAGCTAAAGTTTGTCGGTAGCTGATGTTCATTAAGCACTCACTGTGTTCAGTGCCTCTGAGGTAGAGTTATTGTCATTAGATGGGGAACCTGAGAAACATTCATTTTCTTGCTCAGGCTCACCTAGGTGGAGCAGGGGCGGGCAGGGATGCAACCCACACAACTGCTTCCCGTGGGCCCTGCTGCTCCTTTTAGGAGCTTCCCAGAACTGTGGAGCAATCCTCTGGGCAGTGGGAGGCAGGAAGCTTGGCTTTCCCGTCCTTATGCCAGCCTCACTAGGAAGAAGCCAGCCAACAATGGGTGATAGCTTGTGGCTTATTAAAACATCATTTTATTTTATTTTATTTTTTTAAATATATTTTTTTATTAATTTCAGAGAGGAAGGGAGAGGGAGAGAGAGAGAGAGAAACATCAATGATGAGAGAGAATCATTGATCAGCTGCCTCCTGCACACCCCTTACTGGGGATGGAGCCGCAACTCAGGCATGTGCCCTTGACCGGAATCGAACCCAGGACCTTTGAATCCATAGGCCGACGCTCTATCCACTGAGCCAAACCAGCTAGGGCTGAAACATCATTTGATACGCGAAGGAAAATGTATTCTGTTGACCAGCGTGAATTAAAACCGAACTGAGAGCATTTCCATCTAATGGACTTGCAAAGCTTAAGAATGTAGGGCTTGTGGGGAAGTAGGCACTCATCTACAGAGCTGGTGGGACTATTTATTGGTACAGCCTCTGTGAAGAGCAGTTTAGCAGTATGTATTGAAGTTGCAAATGAATATGCCCTTTGACCCTGCTGTTCTTCTAGGAGTTGGTCCTACAGAAACTCTGGCTCACATGCAAAATAATAGATTGTAGCATTGTTTGTGACAGAAAGCTTGAGACAACTTAAGCATCCATCATGGGGAACTGGCTGAATAAATGATGGCATATCTATAGTAGGATACTAATTATTCCTAAAAGAAAAAGGGAGGAGGATGAGACAGGCTGAACTCCAAGATTGTTCAGTGAAAAAAACAAAGGGCAGGATATATATATTGTGCATTTGTTTCTAAAAGGGGAAATAGTAAAAATATATTTACTTTTAAACATTTTTATTTGCATAGAATATTTTCAGAAAGATACACAAGAAACTTCATGCTGTCTCTTGGGGCTGGGTAACCAGGGCCCTAAGGGCGACCTCTCAGTACCTTTTTGTGATCTTCAATTTGGAATCATGTGAATGTGTTGCCTTTATGAAAAATAAATCTTAAGCCCCATTTTAAACATATCACATATCTGTATCAATGTATTTTGTAATTTTACTTCTATTACAATTTTATAGCTACCATTGGACAGTTGAAATTTTCTTTTTTAATTTTTTTCCCTTGGGAACGTTATGATTTCCAGCATTTCTGATGAATCAAGCTGTTAAGTGCACCAGAAGTATAAACTTGGAACAGTGCGAAGAAATGGAAGCTCTGAGCATGGCTCATTACAGCAGCCCTAACATTTTGAGGGTAAGAATTATTTTGAAGTGAAGCTGATTCGTTAGGTTTATTTTCTGTTCTTGGTACCCTTTTAAAATATGACAAATATAGAATAATTTAAGTACATGATTGACACTCAAATTTTAAAATGTCTCCAGTTCTTTGGTATACTGATACTGAACATACTGGGGGAAAATCACTTAAAATAATTTCTATTTTTATCTAGCTAGCTCATATTTTGCTTTTATTCATTTTTTCTTTTTTCTTTCACTCATTTTGATGGTAACCAATAATGTCTGTCTCCTGAATTAAAAAAATAATTAATAACCAAAAACTTTTCCAATGATAAAAGCGTCTTCATGTCTGTGACAGAAATAATCATATTAGCACCAAGTAGAGATCTCTCTGAGAAACGGACCAGAAAAGGATAGAAAATCCACTTTCTGGCTGGCAGATGAAATAAGCAACCAGGGAAGGGCAGGAAATAGGATTGCTGGGAGAGGGCAAGAGGCCGCAGTGGTGAAGGGGCCCCTTCCTCCTGGTCGCAGGGACCCGAGCCTGACCTGAATAAATGAGAGACGCTACTGGCCCATTTGGTGGATGACGTGGAGGGCTGCAGGGGAGAAAATGTTTTTAATGTTTAAAAAACGGGATTATTGTGAAATCCTGGATCTCCTGATTTTCTTTTTTGGGAGGTAGTGGAAGAGTGGTCCATGGCATCAGTATCCACCTGGGCTTCAGTTTTCAGAGTCAAGTTTAACCTTTTTTCTCCCCTCCCTTCTCATGTCAGCCATCTAGGCCTGTGAATTCTTCCAGCGAGTTGGCCTTCTCAGTTTTCTGGAAGTATTCCCTCTGGCACACAGGCACAGGTCTCTTTCAGCACAGGCCTCCCCAAAATGGTCTGCTCATTTCCCTCCCCGAAGCTCCAGTGGCCTAAGAGGGTGGGTGTCCTGTGATTATAGAGGGGAGGCTGAGGCCTTCAGGAAGAGTGCTCTGGCTGTGTAGAGGAGGCAGGGGTGTGGCCTTGAGGGGGCTTGGGCTAGAGGCAGGAAGACCACTGAGGAGGCTGTGAAGGACGCTGACCTTCAGCGAGCACAGTGCAGTGAGAGTGACTGGCAGGTGGGAGCCATGTCTTCCTCATGGGGCGGTGTCACTGGTGACCGCATGGAAAATACCGAGTGATGACCCTGAAGCAGAGAGGCTTCCTAGGACTGGCTCTGTTGGGTTGGTCTATTAAGCTTCCATTTTGGAGGAGGTGAATATCAAAGGAAAACGTAAGGTTACCTCTTTGATTATGACATAGGTACTAAAAGATATAGCTGGCAGGTCTTGATTAAGGATATTCTGTTTTCCTCTTTGTGAAGTCTTAAATAAGATGAATATGCCCTTTGACCCCCAGTCTGAAAAAAAAAAAGCAATAAAAATGATTTTTGTTGTTGTTGTATTTAACAAAATTTGTTGTTTCTTTCTGTCTAGGTACCTAATTCAAAAACAAAGGTAAGAGTATTTCTTAATGGAAAGTTCATTATACACTGTCTTATTTCTGAGCCTTTGGAAATGATTATACTTATGATTAGAAAAGTACCTTACTGCCGTGGCCGGTTTGGCTCAGTGGATAGAGCATCGGCCTGTGGACTTAAGGGCCCCAGGTTCGATTCCGGTCAGGGGCATGTGCCTTGGTTGTGGGCACATCCCCAGTACGGGGTGTGCAGGAGGCAGCTGATCAATGTTTCTCTCTCACTGATGTTTCTAACTCTATCCCTCTCCCTTCCTCTCTGTAAAAATATCAATAAAATATTTATATATAAAAAAAAAGAAAAGTACCTTACTGCCAAGAACAAAAACACATCTCAAAAAGCAAGCAGAGCCCTAGCCAGTTTGGCTCAGTGGATAGAGCGTTGACCTGTGGACCGAAGGGTCCCGGGTCCAATTCCAGTCAAGGGCATGTACCTTGGTTGCAGGCTCCTCCACAGCCTGGCCCCTGGTCGGGATGTGTGCAGGAGGCAACCAATCAATGTGTTTCTCTCTGTCTTTCCCTCTCTCGTCTACTCTCTCTAAAAATCAGTGGAAAAATATCCTCAGGTGAGGGTTAACAAAAATAAAAAGCAAGCAGAAATGAAATAGGGAAACTTCATGGATGACCCTTTGGTAGTCATATGTTGGTGTGATCGGCCTCTGTGCTCTCTGGCCTCCCTTGATACCTTCTTGGTCTCTTGTCAGGAGAGCGGGCTAGCCCCCAGGATGCTGTCTGTCCAGTGAGGAGAGGAGGATAGAGACATTTTCCCCAGTGAGAGGTGAGCATCCCAGTGTAGCTTCACATTTAGTTGTGGGCAGGTTCTGTTCCAAGCCTATCCCCCCACAGCCCAGGGGCCCTGTCAGGCTATGGTGAGGAGGCCAGTGTCTCTGTAGGTATGTCAGGAGGAGGAGCGTGGCTCTACCTCTTATTCTTGGGCCTGTGAATGCAGGCGATGGCCTTGCCATAGTATCCCAAAGCCTGTGGGGTTAGCCAGCCTTACTCAGAAGTCAGCTCTGCCGTGACTTTCTCATATAACATGCTCCTCACACCCCCAGTTGTCAAGCGGGCGATAAGCCTCAGTGCGCATGAGCTGCTTTCTTTGTGCAGCGTCTGTCACTCAGGGCGCACTTGGGACAACGATCCTACTCCCACTGATGTCATTAAGGCTCTGGACACAAATGTGTTTGAGGTCGACATTTGAAAGGAAGTAGTCATGTGATTTGAACTTCACATGACTGTGTGTGGGCCTGGATTTCCTCTTCTGTGAAGGGAATTTTCAAACTTGTTTTAGTTACAGAGCTTCTTCAAATGAAATCTCAGACAGAACGCTGCCTAGTGTGCAAGATGGATTGAATCCAAAGCGCCTGGTTGGAATAAGGGTGGTGTCAGAAGCTCTCCGCCTGCCCGGCCTCTCCATCTCTCTGCTGGTTTGGCCCCTCTGAGGAACCTCTACAGCTCCCAGGAACCCAGTTTGAAAGTCACTGGACTAGCTCTCAAATACCTCTAAGTCACTAAAAAGTGCTTTGAACCTACCATTCAAAGCTTGAACTGTCTGTGGGGCAGTGGCCGTCTGTGATATGTCCTTAGTACTAGGGCGGTGCCTAGTATGTGTTGGATTATATGTTACGTGAATGAATGACTAGGGGATTGGCTCAATCAAGTAGGGAAGATCCTTTATGAGGAATAATGGGATGTTACTGAAAGGCACGAAGTGTGCGCCAAGCAGTGTTCCAAGTGCTACACGTGTCTGAAGTCCTTTGGTCATCTCCGCAATCCTAGGAAGTGGGTCCTGTTATTGTGCCCCTCTGTCACGTGATTCACAGAGGAATTACTTGCCCAAGGCTATGCAGCAGGGAAGGGGCAGAGCCGGGACAGGCTGTCTGGCCATAGAGACCATGACACTGGACTAGCTCTTCTGTGTACCAGACCTTGAGTTAGAGGCTTCACGCACATTCTCTCTGCATCCTGTGGCCACACAGGAAGTGGAAGGCTGGGACTTCCAACTCAGATTTGTGTGGTGTTAGAGTTTGTGCTCTGAAAGACAAGCATATCAACTAATATCAGAGGTTTCTTCATTTAAAATTTTTACTTATTGATTTGAGAGAGAGATTAATTTGTTGTTCCACTTAGTTATGCATTCATTGGTTGATTCTTGTATGTGCCCTCACCAGGGATTGAACTCACAACCTTAGCATATCCAGATGATGCTCTAACCAACAGCTACCCAGCCAGGGCCTAAGGTTTTTTCCCAAAAGTGACTTCCCAGGTCTGTTAGAGAATCAGGAATATAAAAATTGGATCCAGTCTCCCCATTGAGTGAAGCCTCTGATGACAGCCTGGAATCATTGTCGATATCTGTTGAACCATCAGTGAAAGGTTAAGTTATGGCTTCATAGTTTTATTAAGTACTAGAGGCCGATGCATGAGATTTGCACAAGAGTAAGCCTTCCTCAGCTGATCGATGTTTCTCTCTCATCGATGACCCAGGACCTGGGCTTCCCTCGCAGCCTGGCGTCATCTGGAAGATTGTCCGGTCTAATTAGCATATTATGCTTTTATTATTATAGATGCTTTGGTTCTTTAGTTTGGGATGGGAGATGATTGAGTGGGACATGCAGGAGACCAGAACAGCCCTGCCATTGTCATTCTTGTGGCTGTTCCCGTGGATGCTGGTAGATGAGTCTGTTCTTCCCATTGGTTTTTCCAAAGCTTGTTTAAACTGGACTGTTTGGCCCTAGCTGATTTGGTTCAGTGGATAGAGTGTCAGCCTCTGGACTGAAGGGTCCCAGGTTCAATTCTGGTCAAAGGCATGTGCTCGGTTGCAGGCTCGATCCCCAGTAGGGGGCATGCAAGAGGCAGCCAATCAATGATTCTCTCTCATTATTGATGTTTCTATCTCTCCCTCTCCCTTCCTCTCTGAAATCAATAAAAATATATTAAAAAAATAAAACCTAGACGTTTGGTTTCTGCCAGCCACACCCACATACTACAGGGTGTGCCTGGGACTGTTGGAGAATGTGCGTGTGTGTGTACAGAGTGAGGGCATTTATCCACGGGAGCTGAGTTTTGGAGGTGATAAAATACACATGCATTAGATGGTGTGATGAGAGTTTTCTGTGGTTGTGTTTGAGACATAATTCACCTCCATAAAACTCACCATTTAAAAGTGTACAAGTTAGTGGTTTGGGGTATATGCACAAGGTAGTGCAGCCATCACCATTATCACCAGGACATTCTTACTGCTCCGAGAATAAACCCTGTGCTTATTAGCAGCCACTCTTCATTCTTCCCCAACCCCCTCTCTCTGCCCAGCAACCACTAATATATTTTCTGTTTCTGTGGATTTGCCTATTCTGGACATTTCACGTAGAAGGAATCACACAGAATGTGACCTTTTGTGCCTGGCTCCTATTGTTTAGCACCATGTGCTTAAGGTTCATGTATGTTGTAGCAGGTGTCAGTTCTGTATTCCTTTTCATAGATGAATACTATTCTTTTGTATGAATATACCACATTGTATTTATCCAGTCATCCGTTGATATACCTGTGGGTTGTTTTCAGTTTGTGGCTATTATAAATGCTGCTGTGAACATTTGTACACACGTGTGAGTATGTGAGCATATGTTTTCAGAGGTAACCACAAGTAAAGTTTTGGCTATATCCTTAAGTATTTTCTCTGTGAACGTGTATATGTACTTACATATAAATATCCACATTTTTGCAAATGTGGAATTACACAGCATGCCTGTTGTTCTATAGCACGCTTTTCCCTACTTGGCAGTGTATCAGTGGAGGTTCGTTTCAAGTGTTTTGTTATTTTAACCCGTTCATGTCTGTTGTAGTGTCTTCGGTAAGCCAGGACTTCTTTGTTTTGCAGGTCCCTATCACTGTCCAGTCCATCGTCATTCAATCTCTAAATAAAACGCTCACTCGGCTGGCAGACACACACGTATTGGAGCCGGTTCTTGTCGAAGAGGCTGGGGCTGTTAAAGTCTGCACCAAGGTCGTTCTAGAGGTAGGGGCCCAGTGGCTTTGGAAGCTCCATCAGTTTGTGGCAGACTCAAACTGCATGGTCCCGAGGGGTTCAACTGGATGTCCTTCCAAAGGGGCTCTGGCCCACACTGTGGTATTGCTTTTCTTGATGTGGCCTCCTGCTTGCCTTTCTGCTGTCCCCTTAGAGCAGTGGTTGGCAAACTGCGGCTCACGAGCCACATGCAGCTCACAAGCCACATGCGGCTCTTCGGCCCCTTGCGTGTGGCTCTTCCTAAGCCTTAGGAGCACCCTAATTAAGTTAATAACAATGCTCTATCTCTCTCCCTTCCTCTCTGTAAAAAATCAATAAAATATATGTTGTATACAGCCGAAACCTGTTTGGCTCAGTGGATAGAGCGTCGGCCTGCGGACTGAAAGGTCCCAGGTTCGATTCCGGTCAAGGGCATGTACCTGGGTTGCGGGCACATCCCCGGTGGGGGATGTGCAGAAGGCGGCTGATCGATGTCTCTCTCTCATCGATGTTTCTGACTCTCTATCTCTCTCCCTTCCTCTCTGTAAAAAATCAATAAAATATATTTAAAAAAAAACACAAAAAAAACAATGTACCTACCTATATAGTTTAAGTTTAAAAAATTTGGCTCTCAAAAGAAATGTCAATCGTTATACTGTTGATATTTGGCTCTGTTGACTAATGAGTTTGCTGACCACTGCCTTAGAGGATACCTCTTTGTCTCTGAAGTAATCACGTGTGCTTTTTCTCCATAAACCCAGTGACTTACAGGATACATAAAAGTTTGTTGTTGTTGCCACTCTTTTGTTTTAATGTTTCCACTGCAGACAGAGACTGATTATATTCTGCCCAGGCCAGCTGATGTGGAACTTACTAATCGGGTACCGGGTACGGAGAAGCTCAAATGACCCTGTTTGTTAGCAGGGGTGATGCCGAAATAACACCTCCCCTACCTGATTGGACAGGAGAAAAAAGCTTCAAGTGGAGAAATGGGAAAGCATTAGCCTCCTCTCTATAGTTTATTTGAGTTATTAATACAGCTACAGAAATGTCATGGGAACAGGTGTATTTGGAGTGTCGTTTTTGTTTTTAGGTAAAGTACAGTCTCACATACACAGAAGCAGGTGAAGTAACAAAAGCCGATCTCTCTCTCCTCCTGGGAACAGTGAGCGACGCAGAGCTTCCACTCCAGCAAAAGTTTGAAATTTATTTTATTCAGGTAAGATTGATCAATTTTGTACAAGTAGCTCATTGCCAAGTGAAAAGAAACCCTAACTTGTCAGTGAAAAACATAATCTCAGTTTACAACTATTGCCACACCTAACCCCTTGCACTGAACGAAGGCTTGCACATAGCATTGGGTTTGTAAGGCAGGAGGCCGAGGCCTGCATCCTTTCCCCCGGGGACTGAGTCCTTGCATGCCAGCTTGCCCTTTACAGCATGATGTACTCCTACACTCAGCAGACACATTTATAGTTCGGAGTAGGGGAGAAATTATTTTATTGGTCGGTAATTCCAGATTTTATTCTGAAAAGCATTTCATTCCCCCCCTGCCACTTCCTTGTTAAAGTGAGAATTACGTGGGGGCTTTTCTGCATTGTCTTTCAGCAAAATACAAAGCCAGTTCCTCTCAGTGGAAACCCGGGTTATGTTGCGGGCCTCCCGCTGGCTGCTGGATTTCAGCCTCACAAAGGATATCCTTTTGGTTCCGTGGAGAAGGTTGATTTCCCTGTCCACATGCGGGAGCCATGCTTCCCTTTATCGCTGAGGGGCCTGTGGGCTGGAGGGGCTGGTCTCGGCCACAGGCTTCCCTGGTGGTTCCGGAGGGGCTGGTCTGGCCACACAGCACGTGGGGCTCCTTGGAGACTGGAGGTTAGAGGTGGAACAGCACGACCCAGGACAATGTCAATGTTTATAATGAAAGTCTTAACCCCGAAAAGCTGACAGAGATGTAGATGTATTTAATTTCACAGAGATTCAAACAAATTTAGTGATTTTGAAAACTTCGAATTAATTTTGAAGGGTCAGTTTCTGGAGATTTTTTTCTTCTGAGGATCCAGTCAAGGAAAATAGTTATAACTGCTTTCACCATCTCCTGGGAAATAGCTGTCATATCCCCAGAGGCCGGAGAAGAGATATTTGGGTCTCCCTCATGTCTCGGTCACACGTGTGCCACTGCCTGAGAACCAGATGCTGTCGTACTGGGCGGTTACCCCTTAACTCTCCATGAAAGTCTGGGATTATTCAGACCATGAATAGATATGGACAACTTACTATTCTTCGTAGCACAGCTGAGCAAGACTGCCTGGCAGTAGAGGGGATTCGGACCCCAGTATTATTTGGTTACAATATGCAATCTGGCTGTAAACTAAGGTAAGGGAGTGACTTGTTTGTGTTGGAACTTGCATGTGTTGATCAGAAAATAAAACATCCCGCTCCCCCCGACCCCTTTTCAATCAGACATTTCCCTCAGCTGATGGGAGTGCCTGTGAAAGCTACAATGTACCTTATGATTATTAATAGGTAATCGCAATAGTGACAATACATTATAATATAATTTTTTATTTTAAATCTTAGAACCATAAGCCATGTGTCATGGTTCAAAGGAAAACTATTACAACCATTTTTTTAAAAAAATATATTTTATTGATTTTTTACAGAGAGGAAGGGAGAGAGATAGAGAGTCAGAAACATCGATGAGAGAGAAACATCGATCAGCCGC